AGTTAATCGATATGATAAAATTACAAATATGAGTTTTGGGGATATATCGTCCCCAACACACATTGAAAATAATGTTCAAGACAACATTATAACAGACTTCATCAACTGAAGATAAATCAAAAGCCAGGAAACATCAAATAGATTTTTAGTTTAAGCTCTATACTTTTCAGAAGTCTGAATTTTTTTATCATGTGTAAAGTCGAAATACAATCCTTCAGATTAACAATTAGTGCCATGTGTAACTGGAATATAAATCTGATATCATCAAATGAGTACATCATGTTGACTGACTTCCTATTTATTGAATGTTTATAACTTATTGAAATAAAAATTACCTGTGTTCATTGTATTTATCTGATGTATAAGTAAATTTAGTTGATTCTACCTATATTTCAACACACTTAAAAATAAGATCAGGAAACACATCGAATATGGATTAAATTAATTACCTAGTTTTACCTTTATTTTTAGCCAATTACAATCATGAGCAAAGACGGATAGTGGCTAGCAGTGGAATCCAGGACGCGCATTTCGTCTTATTTGGAACTCGTCAGCTTGATATACCAGCATCCTAGAGTTGATGTTCACTCCGAGACTCGAACCCAGTACAGTGCGCGTCAAACGCCATCGCACTATCCACTTAGTTACGGATTCCTGATAGCCACCTTCTTGTGCAATGGAGTGAAGTTTAAATTCACATGGTGTTGTTTGCTTGTATTTTCCTATTGTTGTTTAGGACTGCAATTGATCAGGGGGCCACATCCGTAGCCTCTGACCTAGAGGTTTAATCCACAAGGCAGCGGAGCAACGTTAGGAGATGCAGTCCCATGGTAGACGGCAATTGACAATTGGTTCATACTCCATTTGTTTTCTCAGGATCCTGGGGCCCATGTGTACCATCGGTTCAGGATAAGGGTTCTTTAACCCCTAGATGGACCCCCCGTGTCCATCAACCCGGTTAAAGCACCGGATATTCGCTTTTCGTTTTCTCGATTTTCTAAACAACACCCCCAACGCAAGAAGGCAGTGAGTAGGACTTCTCCGTCAGTCGCTGTGTACGCGTGGCCATGTGAGAGCATTTTAAGGGGGAGAACGGACTCTCCTCATCCTCGGTTGTATCAGAGCATTGAGGGGGCATTATGGAATAATCCATATTGTTTTCTTGATTTCATTCAAAGGAATATATATGTTTATGCTCCACTCTGTTAAAAGAATGAAATATCAGTAAAGGGTTGTGGAGCTGAGACACGTCAGTTTTAACTTCCAACTTCAACTAATCCACGATAGTGCGCGACCATCCTCCACTGTCTTCAGTGGTCAACTGAATCACATCCGACGCGGTTGGTTGAAGTTAAACATCAACACCAATGGATCGCGGCTCAGTGGTCCAGAGGTTAAGTGTTTGCACGAAACAGAGGGTCTTGGATCCGAGTCCCGAGTGTGGGATCGTGGATGTACAGTTGAAGTTAAACAATAAAGATTTTCTACACTTCGTATGTTTAGCAGTACATACTTTATTCGTCCTTAATGATATTGGGTTTAGAATACTTCTATGAGTTATATAACACCTTTTAATAAATATACTATCAGAGCATTTACAGTATAATTAAGAAGTAAATCGATGTTAGAAAAAGTGAAGATTTCTGAAGCTTTGACTACTTCTTAAAGTATTTATTAAGACAGTAGACAGGCGACTAGATTAACTCATGGTAGATAAACCATAAATAGTAGTTATGATTTGAAAATATTACTGACCAGCATTTGATGACTAATCTGTGCACAAATTGGTATTATTAAATCACTTAAACTTTTGCAGATATTCCCTTATTTCATCTGAGTCATAAAAATGAACAATAAAAGGCTAAATTTTAAACTCAACTAACAAGGAAATAAACACGCGAGAAGTACTGTCACGATAAATTATTGTTATGAATAAGTTTGATATTGTAGAGATTGAAATGTACCATAGAGCAACACATTTCCATATAAATAACACTGATAAAATACTTTGTAACTGAGCTTACCTATTATGTTTATTTGAAATTTGGATATCTAAAATTTGGTGATACCACTCTTGAATTACTGACACCATGATAGCTTTGTTCAATTTATTGTGAAGAAACTTTAGTGCGGTTCTACGTAATACTCTTTTTTGTTTCCAAAACTGATGTTTTAACATCCAAACAAATAAAGCTTTACGTAAAATATGCCGACGATCGTGAGCTCTTGCTGCAGCAAAAAGGGATTTTTCAACAGCAGATTTCCCAGTTAGAAAATATTTCGTTTTCCAACATGTCATGTGGCTTTGCAATGCCTTGATTTATTAAAAGTGGAATTATAAATTATTTGGTAATCGTATAAAAAGACCTTCAGTCAAAAAGCAAACTGATTATTCTAAGAACTAGACAGAACATAAATTCATGTCCTAGAAGACAAATGTCATACAATCAATATGACAAAGTGCGTTTGTAACTGTCTCCAAAAAAGTAATGGTCATCGTCATGAATGTAGATCCAACTACTCAGTTATGCAAATGACTGGAATAAAACCCACGATATTATTATATCTATTCCGGTAATTGATGCTTGGACTCTAAGTAATACCCATACGATTCGACAAGCTTAACTTTTTGCTAGTTTTTTCACAGTACCGAAAATAAGGTTGTTTACTCACCTGAAGACGATAATTAGCAATTGCCATACTTTTTGACTTGTTTCTTCTCCGTCTTTTTTGTACGTAAGATACCCAAATAAAAAGTGAGCGCGACTGAAAGATAAAACGTCAATATTGAGTAAACGTCCGCACGTCTTATTCGGAAGACAAAAATGAACTTACACAATTACCTTTATATTCATGTTATGATGATGTGTAGCCTTTTTGTTTGCAAATTTTAGCGAGATTCGAAAGTCGAATTCTAAATGATTTACCAAGTTAATTCTGTTAAGACAGCTTAGCTCATATGAACCATCGACGTCAGCGTCATGACAAAATACACCCTTCAGGTAAAAATGTATCACGGACTAAAGTTATCGCAGGTAGTTTCATTGACTTTAAAAGTGGGAATAGAATATAAACTCCAAGATGACATCACGTATGAGTTAAATATAAAGTACTTCATCAATCGAACAATCCATTAAAAAGTAATGTACGTTTCAATCGCCACACAACATACTGTAATTGGTCAGGATAGGTTTTGTAATAAATGAAGCTTATGCAAACAGCTTAATTGTTTAAATTTTAGTAAATGGAACAAATTTGTACCTCGTTATCAATTTTCTGAAAATCATATCTAGGAGGACGAATTACTATTTCGATGGCAATTACTTTACATGGTAAAAAGGATACCGTATTTCCAGAAGAGTAAAGATGATTTGAGAAGATTATGGTCACGTAAAATACGTGCAGATTTATAATCTTTAGCTAAACGTAGCCAGGAACCAAAGTAAATGCGCATTCGAGAACGTATCACTAACGTAAAGCAGTAACCTAGAAAAAAGGGAATAATATAAACAACATTTCTGTGCTCAAATAGAATGTATATGATGTAAGTTCTGCATACAACTATAACATCATTCAAGTTGCATTCATTCTATATCAACCCTTAGATCCAAAGTTTCAAAATCACTTTATAATATTTCTTTTACTTTTGAGAATAAATTATTTCTTCTTGTATTAAATTTCCTGTTTTTAATCTTTTCTTCTGCCACTGACGCTGTTATTGGTTCTACTAATCAGGGACTTGTCTTCACAATTTCATCTCACTGTACTGGTATGGTTTAACAACTTGAGTCGATGCCCATTTATGCAAGATTGTACTTTCCGGCTGACTGATCTAAAAATTTGAACTCTATTGAACTTTAACTTCAAATAATGGTCAATTTTAGGCGATTCGTTCAGAACAGAAGCATTTTTACAATAAGGTAAAGGTTGCTTGATGCCAAAATCCTTGTCTCATTTAATATCATGCAAATTTAGTAATTGACACTTTTTCACATGGTGATTTACTTTTACCTTCGGATAAATGAATTATCACAATCTTTCCATTTATTTTGTCCACATATTTGGCCCTGTCATTCACCGTTAACATGCTTTATACGTTTGTATGATGGTATGCCTATCTACGTCCTGTATTTCTTGCGTATCTTATAAGAACTGAGTCACCTTATTAGTCTTTTAGTCAGTGTATTACCAAATTCAGATACTGTATAGGATCGCCGCATCTTTTGTTTCCTTGTCTGGCGTTCAATATTAGCCTGTCAAAAATATACCTATTCTAAACACAACTTGTATCTGACTTTTGACATACCGTTAAGCTGACAGAACAAACACGATGTAAGCAATATCTAGACTTCGTCTGCAGCACTACAGATCTATCACAGAGGAGTCGGACAATAAGCGCTAAAATGAAATATTGAAGCTATTTATTTCAATCTTGGGCTATTATATATTAAACGCCCTATATTTAGATGAATGAGTATGAAGTATGTTGAAAAAGACAACTTTGCGAAAAGCTCATATCGAATAAACACACAGTTTTGAAGTAATGTAAATATATGAAAACATAACCGAAGAGCCCAAATAATAAATTGTTATTAAGATTTTTACAATTTCGTTTCATGGTTTACCCCTAAATAAATCTATAGTTCAATGTAAAGCATATGTAAACCGGGTTCTAAAGAATTATGAAACATATATTTCTTTGCATTGAAAACCTAACAAAAACCAATACTTTAAACCAGAATGATATGAAAGTCTCACACAAACGAATTAACGATGGTGTCTGACTAGTGTATGATAAGCACTTCATAAGATCTTATTTTATGTACAAGACTTAGTCCAGACTAAGTGTGTATAAAAACTACTATCAGAGTCATGCCGTAACTTCAGATATTGAAAAAGTATCTTAGCATACGTCCAATAGTCCTAAAAACTCAAGACGGTAATCAATGAAGTTTAAGGTCTTAGAAATAATCAACAAGGAACTACTTTAAACTCAGTCCGAGAACCACATTTCAACTAGTGAATTTATATAATGGTATAAAAGACATGATCAAGTCTTCTTGAGTTTCTGTAAGAAAAATATGAAATGTTCAAGACAATAGAGGGATTCTGGGAAATACAGTTTGTTACTAATAGCTATTTTTTAGAGGTGGGTACGTGCATCCTCACTAAAGAGCACACGGAAAGCAAATGTAATAACACTTACGTAAGAATAATAACATGTTTGAATGCCATATAGCCCCCGAGCTCCCAATTTCGGGGAAGATGGTGTAGTAAACTTTAGGTAAATTTTGAAGAAACAGCACCGAAACCCCAAAATTTGCCTTCAACCTTGGTGAAAATCATTTGACTTTGTGGGTTTCTCCAGAACTTCCTCAAGCTTTGGACACTCGTGAGTTAACCTACTAATCTTGGTTTAAACCAAGAAGTGGAGTAGAACAGCATCATAAACCTATCCGTTTTAAGTACATGTGCATCTATAAGGCCAAAAAGGACTGTTGAAAGTAAGACTCACTTCGAGATTTACGGAATCTACACATTTGACACAATCTCACACAACTTATCTGTCCAACCCAATCACCCAAGTTTGAGGAAATTACGGGGAAGCCAACTAAGTCAAATAACCTTCACTAAGGTTAAGGGGAAATTTTTGGGTTTTGGTGCTATTTCCCTAAAAATTTCCCAAAGTTTACTATAGCGGCTTCCCCGAAATTTCACCAAAATGGGTCAAATTTTCCCCTAAATTGGGAGCTCGGGGCAAAATGATGCATGAAACTGAACTTACATTCTTCACAACTTAACGTCCCCGACAAGCCACCCGAATATATAACCGACTGTGTGTAGTTGTTGTTTTTTACGGCGGAGATTTCACTGTCTAGATTGTCATAAGTGTATGAGCTCATGTGTTTATAATCACAAGCCACATTTTCCGACACATCGAAGAGTTGAGACTTCAAATTACGACAATCGATCCTAGTGACACTACCCACAGAATTCTTTTCATTAATGGTTTGTAAAATATCCCTCTTAACTTTAGATATATAAGCTCCGAAGTTATTCGGAAATTCCTTGTTAGAATTCATTGTGCTTTTATAGTAGAGGTCGGCTCATACTGATAGTTAAAAAGCTTCTCGAACGATACTTGATATGTAGCGACTCGTGTCTAGCTCGAAGGTACTCTGTGCACTAAAGTCATCATAGTATCGTTGTCCTCGTTACAAAAGACGCCCAACTGAATAACCGCCAGTGAAACTACAGATTATTTAATAATATTCAATATCTGGATGAAGGGCTTATATTGATCAGTTGTTCATCATGTCAACCCTCCTTAATGTTGAAGAAAGATTACAGGACATGAGCAACTCTGTGTATCAACAGTTAAGTCTTTTGACTGAGCTCGTGGTTAAAAGAATGTCTGTTAATTTCCAACACTGCTTAATTTCTGTGTGCTTGAAAGTCATGTTTTGCTGCTACATATATGCTGGTTTGTCGATTTATACTGGCTGTTCTACTCTAAAAGTTACGATTTTCCACTATTTGTCTTCTTTCTATGTTGGCTGTCAGGTGTTTGTGTTATTTCATTTGGCGATATCGATTACAACAAATAATGTTAATCATAAACGATATCAGTAGCAACATAAGCAGTACCTTCAAACACTCACAGGGCTAACGGACCAAAGAAAAGCGGCGAACATCACAAAGACAAAAGCGGATGTCATGTAGAAAATAGAATCCTTAAAAAAGAAATTGTAGTTACCATTTCTAGCAAAATGTCAGGGTTCTTAACGAAATCTTAGTCCCTTTGTAATACTTTTAGTGTTTTCATTAGGTTTTACTCCTGTACATTGCTAGGTATATCTGATCTGTAGCTTTTATTTTATTTCCAGATAGGTATTGTCCGTTTTTCATTGGTTTATTTTCCGAGTAAACAAACAAAATGTGAACGTAAAGTAACTTGTATGAAATACAATGCCTAAACTTATTGGGGTGGTTCACTGTTCTTGAAGTTGTAATTAAAAGTGTCGAAGACTATACTGAAAATTTACAAATAACTTTGTTACTGTAGAGGTAAATAAATCCTCAAAACAAATAGCTCTTTAATTTTGCGACATTGAATGCTGACCAGATTAGTTTTAGTGGACCCACCTAGCTGAAGGCGCTCGGTCATGCATCCGCACCAGATCACGTGTGGGAATGCCGTGCTCAACTGCTACTGCAATCGCTAGCCAGATTAAATCAGATGATTCCGATATATTGACAATCGTCAAATACAATTTCTGATTTCCTCGATTCCGTTTTTGATTTCTCTTGGTGGGTACGAGTTATATTAGAAAGTTTTACTGGTAAAAGCGTTGTCAAGCACTAAATACCTGTGCCATCTTCATTGGTGAGTCTAACGTGATCTGGTACACCAAATCGTAAACTGTGAGTTTGTTCCATTTTGGGATTCTATATATTATTGCTTAATCTTAATTTTTTATACACTGCGATATTTTTTCGTGCTTTTTGGATACATATATATTTTTCTATTGTTCATTATCGTACTTCATATTTCATCATGACTGAACAGACACCTAAAGTACTTAAACTTAAGACTTTGTCCCCACCCTCGTCTCAACTCATGCCCTTCTGACTAGACAATATCGAAGCCTGGTTCTGCTCTCAGAAGCCGACTTCTCCGAGCACGGCGTGAACGACACACGAGCACAATCCTCGCAGTAGTCAAGGCACTACTGCGGGAATTCAACAGGTACGTAACACCTAGTATGTTTACTAGTGATGTTTCCGAACCTTACGAAAACTTAAAGCGCTCTTTAAACGAGGAGACAAAGGTTAGATCAACTCTTCAATAACATACGACCTGCAACACGGTTCTGCGACGGACATGTTGCAACGGATGAGAGAGGTTATAGGCCCAAGAACTTTCGACGAAGGTCTATTCAAACAACTTTTCTTGTCAAAACTTCCCCAACAGGTGCAAGCAGTTCTGGTCTCGTTCAGAACAACGCCTTAGACGAACTAGCTGCATCTGCCGACCGTATTTTAGAAATTACGAAATCTTCTACTACCGAGGTATTTTCAGTCAAAGAAAAGCCTCACACGACTCAGAATGACATAACCGAGTTATGTCACACACTCACGCGTTATCTTAGTCTTCGTACCGACCGTAAGAGATCGCACACACCACGTAGAAGCATTTCACGTAAGCGATCTGTCTCTAGACCACGAGAGACGGATAACCCCGACTGGTGCTGGTATCATAACCAGTATGGAAAGTTTTCCAGAAATTGCAGAAAACCCTGCAATTTTCCCAACACGAAACCGACTGACTCGAAAAACAATCGGGAAACTTCCAAGCCGGCACGCGTTAACGGCAACCGTAGCCGGCGAACATAGCCGTCTGTTATACGTCACAGATGTGACAACGAGAGTTCGCTACCTCGTCGACACTGGCGCAGAAGTTAGCGTTCTCCCAGCAAATCCTAACGACCGGCTTCACGAATCGGCTCTAAACTTATAGGCGGCAAACGGAAAAGGTACGTTTACCTTAACGTGGGTTTACGCAAACCCATCACTGGATTTTCGTTGCTGCAGATGTTTCTATGCCAATCATTGGTATGGACCTTCTACAACATCATAATCTGATCATCAATACGCGCAAACGGAGGCTAGTAGACGGAAACACTAATTTATCTGTTTGCGTAACTTCTTTTACTGGTTGCTGATTATCTCCAGTCACAATTAAGCATATCAATAGACCAATAAGCATCCTGGGATACAACAAGCGCAACCGAAACTACTGTGTGTAACCAGCAACGTTACACATCACATCACGACTACAGGACCACCTGTATTCTCTAAAGCACGACGACTAGCTCCTGAAAAGCTAAGGTTAGCGAAAAACGAGTTCGATCACATAATAGACTTAGGAATCATACGACCGTCAAGTAGCCCATATGCATCTCCGTTGCACATGGTCCCTAAAAAGGACAGCAACGATTGGCGTCCAACTGGCGACTATCGGCGATTGAACGCGAAAACCATTCCCGATCGTTACCCGTTGCCTCACATTCACGATTTGACAGCTACCTTGAAAGGTACAACTGTCTTTTCGAAAATCGACTTGGTTAAAGCGTATAACCAAATCCCTATGGCTACTGACGACATACCGAAAACAGCTATCATAACTCCCTTCGGACTCTATGAATTTTTGCGAATGCCTTTCGGTCTAAGGAACGCTGCTCAAACATTCCAAAGATTCATAGACGACGTTTTTCGAGGTCTCAACTTCGTACACGCGTATGTTGACGACTGTCTAATCGCAAGTCCGGACAGAGAATCACATCTCAAGCATCTGGATCTTGTTTTCGAACGACTACAAAAACATGGCATACTGTAAACGTTCAGAAATGCCAATTCGGAACCGACTCATTAGACTTCCTAGGACACACTATCGATGCTCAAGGCATTCGACCCCTTAGGACCAAAGTGGCGGCCATTCTGGATTACCCAGAACCGACCACCGTCAAGCAATTACGCACGTTTAACGGCCTGGTAAGTTTCTATAGACGATTCATACCGAAATGCGCATTACTATACTGACCAACTTCGTGGAAATGCGAAATCCATTAATTTGGACGACACCGCACGAAAAGCATTCTCCACAGTTAAGGAACTGATCGCTAAAGCAACAATGCTCGCACATCAGGACACCGAGCACCCATTAGCATCGCAGTAGACGCATCCGACTCGGCAATCGGAGGAGTCTTACAACAATGGGTTAACAACTCCTGGCAACCCTTGGCATTTTTCTCTAGAAGGTTGCTAGACACCGAATCGAGGTACAGCACATTCGGTAGGGAACTCCTAGCTATGTATTGTGCTGTACGGCGTTTCCAACACTATATCGAAGGCCACGAATATACCCTTTTCACTGACCATAAACATCTCACTTTCTCGTTGAGCTCTCCTTCAGACAAGTACTCTCCCCGTGAGTCTCGACAACTGGACTACATTTCGCAGTTTACTTCAGACATTCAACACATCTCTGGAGCAAACAATGTAGTTGCAAACGCCTTATCTCGCATAACTTCCTTGAACAGTTTCCAAGGTATCGACCTTCTTAAACTCGCCGAGCTTCAAAAGAAAACACTGATCTTCAGCACGAGTTATCGTCTACAACCTTAAACTAGGCATCAAACAGATGGAACAGGTGATGAAACCTTACTGTGTGACACATCTACAGGTAGGGATTGCCGAATTGTGACAAAACATTATGGACGCAATGTCTCCAATACGTTGTACAAACTTTTACCAGATTCAAATGGATACTCTTATCTCTTAACCTGCGCAGACTGTTTCACTCGATGACCAGAAACAGTACCTATCAAGGACATCCTGCTGAAACAGTGGCTCGCGCCTTCATCGAACGATGGGTAACAAACTTCGGCTGCCCTTCAACCATCGCTACAGATAGCGGACGTCAGTTTAAATCTGATCTTTTCCGTCGTCTGACCACACTTTTAGGAATCACTCGCTCCCGAACGACCGCCTACCATCCACAAGCAAACGGGTTGGTAGAACTTTTTCACCGACGACTAAAAGTCTCACTATCAGCTGCAAACGTTTCACAGTGGACCGACGCTCTTCCACTCATCTTACTAGGTATTCGCAATGCAGTGGAAGCTGACATTGGATACTCTGCGGCTCAACTCGTTTATGGAACGACATTTCGACTTCCAGGAGAATTCGTGGATCCTTCGCCCTCTTCAATGAACATGGATCTAACCTCCTACACGAACAGGCTTACAAACGCAATGCGTTCAGTTAAACCTGCTTCCACTCGACCACAATCAACTGATGTTTTCGTTCAATCGGACTTACGATATAGTACACACGTCTTCATTTGTCGAGACTCGCATCGACGACTATTCGAATCAGCATATGAAGGACCTTTCAAAGTTCTTCAACATGAATCTAAGTACTATATAGTCGATAAGAACGGAACCAACGATAGCATCAGCATCGATCGCCTCAAAGCAGCGTATTTAGAAGGAAATCCTATCTACGTCGATTTTCCTTC